GAATTGATTCCAAGTGTTGAAAGAACTTCAAGGAATTCCCTAATAAATAAAGGTTGGAGATTCCTACCAGTTGCCAAGATTCTGTCCAGTGCTTCATACTTAATTCTTGCACTAATATTCCTTATTAAAATCAGTATTAATCTTGGCTGAGACTGTAGCTTCTGAGTCTTCTTCAGGGCAGATTCATAACTTTCTTCCTCAATGGAAAGTTAATAGAGTATGGGCTACTGTGCCCAAGCTATATCTGTTCCACTAAGGAATGTAGCTGCCAGACATAGCGTACATTATCACCTTCTATGCAGTCTTCTTCTGCTTTCTGCATAAGTGTATGGATTCAGAAAGGAATCTGATTCTCATGCCATGAAAAATTGTTTGTTGTGTTTCTATGTTGCCAGTCTCAGAACATAATTCTTGGGAATTTACAGAATAAAACATACTGTAAACAGATAGTAAAAACAGGAAAACACAGAAGTACCGAACAACTGTAGGCACTTTCTAGATTTAATTTCTTTTTGATTTCATTCTTTAAGATAACCCCCTCCCATTTTCAAGACACAAAACCTGTGTCGTTTTTAAAAGTTCCAAAATGAATTGTTTTCACTGCAGCAGACTTACATGGATATCCCACTTGATTATGAATATCAATTGAGGGAACAGCAGTAGAGCTTTGTAACCTGGGAATTTTATTTTAGCTCTCTAGGGAGATTTGACTGCAAACAAGAAGCTGCTATATGGACCTTGCTTTGTTATACTAAAGCTTTCATTTTATAATTTTGTGGCATTTTCCCTATTGTTAGAAAGTCTTCATCGGGGTCCAGTCCAAGCCGGGAATAAACAAAATGGAGACTGCTTTAGAAGGAAGGTTGTAGTTTATTGAAGAGCAGAGCCAGATAGAGGGCTGGGAAAGCTGAACACATGTAGCTGGGAGTGGTGGATTTTTATACCTTCTGGGGCTTTTGAGGTTGTTTCCTGTTCCTGTTTGAGGCTTTGTATTTCCTGTGTCATGTACTTTGACCTGAGTCTGAGTGTGCTCTTTTGGTATTGGTGGGTTAATCCTATTATGTCCTAAAGGTCAGTAGAGTTTGGGTGGGGTATGTAGATTTTAGGGGTCTTTGTCTTTCTAATCTCTACAGCTTCTAGCTTCCTGGCTCCAACCTTCCTGAATAGAATTATTACATCTACATTTCTAAAAGCTGGCTTCTGCTGAATTTTCTGGCTGGGGGGGGGGGAGGAAGAAATTTCTGCCTTTTTCTCCACCCACTTAAGAGTCTACATTTCTACCACATTTAACTCTAACATTCATTTGCATTCTAAGAAATCTTTCTAACCCTTCACACTTCTTTAAGAAATGTATAGGATATTAAATATCTTTCTCTGACAGGTATCATTCAAGATTCTTCCTGTATAAATCACAAGTTGTTTATAAAACAGCTTTCTCTGGCATAAGAATTGGAGATTTCAACCTCACCACCTCAACCTTTACAATAGTTTAGCATAGTGAATAACATTAGCTTTATGTTAACTCTGAGGAGTACAAGTATATATAATAAGGCTTGTATTTGAAAATTTGCACATGCTATCTAGCTACTCTATGCATCTGATACTGATGAGCACCCTTGAGGGAGCAGATTTTATCTAGACTTTCTTGGGTTAGGTTTCAGACTAGAATTTAGTATTGTGACAGCTTTGATCACTCTTGCTGATCACCTGCAGAGCTGAGATGGTGGTCCTTACTCTTTCTAGTCTCTTGGTGGCTTTAGATACCATTGACTATAGTATTCTTTTGAGCCAGCTCCATGGGTTGGGGATTGGGGTTTTGTGTTATAGTGGTTCTCTTCTTTTCTCAAGGGCAGGATATCAAGATCACATGAAGTGTTAATACCACTTTACAATGCCTTGGTAAGGCCACACTTGGAATACTGAACCCAGTTTTGGTCAACGCGATGTAAAAAAGATGTTGAGACTCTAGAAAGAGTACAGAGAAGAGCAACAAAGACGATTAGGAAACTGGAGGGTAAAACATATAAGGAACGGTTGCTGGAATTGGGTATGTCTAGTTTAATGAAGAGAAGGACGAGGGGGGACATGATAGCAGTGTTCCAATATCTCAGGGGCTGCCACAAAGAAGATGTGTTATTTTCCAAAGCGCCTGAAGGCAGGACAAGAAGCAACGGATGGAAATTAATCAAGGAGAGAAGCAACCTAGAACTAAGGAGAAACTTCCTAACAGTTAGAACAATTAACCAATGGAACAACCTGCCTCCAGAAGCAGTGCATGCTCCAACACTGGAAGTCTTTAAGAAGAGACTGGCAGCCATTTGTCTGAAATGGTATAGAGTTTCCTGCCTGAGCAGGAGGTTGGACTAGATGACCTCCAAGGTCCCTTCCAACTTTATTATTATTATTATTATTATTATTATTATTATTATTATTATTATTATATTAATATTAATATTATCTGGTGTTGGTAGATCCCTCCATTGTGATGTTGAAAGAAAAAATCTTCATCAGAGTCCAGTCCAAGCCGGGAATAAACAAAATGGAGACTGCTTTAGAAAGAAGATTATAGTTTATTAAAGAGCAGAACCACAAGACATGTGGCTCTGAAGCAGCTGACCACGTTGTTGGAAGTGGTGGGGTTTTATACCTTCCTGGGCTTTTGTGTTTGGAGTTGTTCCCGTGGCATGAACTTTGACCCGAGGTTCAGCGTGTCCTTCTGATAATCTAATGGTGGTGGGTTAATTCTATTATATCCTAAAGATCATGTCATACTTCCCTGGGCTTGTGGCTGATGACTATATCCTGTGTTGGATTTGTGAGTGAGGGGTTGTTGGTTCTAGGAATCTTTGTCTTTCTAATCCCATCAGCTCCAATCTTTCTGGCTCCAGTCTTTCTGAAAGGATTATCAAAACTGCATTTCCACAGACCTAGTTTCTGTTGGGGCAGAAAGACTTGAGGGAGGGGGAGTTTCTGCCTAAGATTTTCTATTATTCCTTTGGGAAAATATATTCTGCTTTTTTTTTAATATCCCCAAAATATTTCTTTCTTTGGGGGAGTGGAGTGTCTTCCTACAGTGACATGCCCACGGATTCTCTTCTCTCTTCTCTACTTTTCAATACCTACATGCATTCACCAGTTTGGGGACCTATATTGCTTTAGCTCAGTGGTTCTCAACCTTTTTAATGCCGCGACCCCCAACCGGTCGTAAGTCGAGGACTACTCAACCGGTCGTAAGTCGAAGACTACTCAATTGGTGCAGCACCGTTTGCAGAATGGGACTTTTGGCGGGCTCAGCAGGGCAGAGACAGCCTGGACAATTCCTATTGGCTTTTGAAAGCCAATAGAATTAGACTCTATTCAAGAGAGTCTATTCTTTCTTTCTTTCTTTCTTTCTTTCTTTCTTTCTTTCTTCCTTTCTTTATTTATTTATGAGACTTATATACCGCTTTAAGTGCAAGCACTCTCTAAGCGGTGTACACCAGTAAGCAATGTATACATATATATTTACATTGCCCCCAACAATCTGGGTCCTCATTTTACCTACCCCGGAAGGATGGAAGGCTGAGTCAACCTTGAGCCGGTGGATTTGAACTGCTGACCTGCTGAACACAGTCAGCTAAAGTGGCCTGCAGTACTGCACTCTAACTGCTGCGCCACCTCAGCTCAAAAGCCGATAGAATAAAAGGGAGTAGCACAGCTAAAGAAAAGGGGGGAAAAATGGCAGACTGCGTTGTTTGGTGAAATGGTGGTTCGACCCCAAATGGGGTCCCGACCCACAGGTTGAGAACCACTGCTTTAGCTGATCTTTGGGTAACCATGCTAGGAATATACACTCTTGATATACAGTCCTAGAATTCTTCACTCAGCCCTCCCTTCCTCCACCAGAATGAAACAGCACAGTGATTCCTTAAGAGTCCACACTGACTTGATGGCATATAATCAATCAGTCACATGTGAGAGATAAATGGCATCTTTTTGGCTCAGTGTGACCTGCATATACTTATCCTTAGAATTACAACACAAGGAGGAAGCTAGGATACATTTTTTTAAAAAAATGTGTACATTATTTAGCTACGGGAATTTTTTTAGGTTTCAGGAAATCTTGAGATTTAAATAAATATTTGAAAATGCCACACTGTTTTTATCCCTTACATAGGAAGTCTTCCAAAATTTGGCTCATATGAATGCATGCAATGGAGTTTAATACTGCATTCCAAAATTGGATTAAATTAAAGCAAATGCTTCTTTGAATTGCATCAGTTCAGAAGCTCTTAGGGAAAGGTATGGCTTAGCAAAAGAAGTGTATGCTTTCATTTCGTAAGAACTTAGTCAGCAAAATCTCAAAAAGTCACAGATAAGAGTTTGGCTTACTGCATTCAGTTTTAAAATCTTTTCAGATTTTAAATATATTTATTTATTGGGTTTCAAGGCCACCCTATTCCAAAATGATGCTGGACAGTTTATATTATTTAACATCACAATATTAAAGATAGCCAGTGTGTAATTTCCACTGATTTGCAAGTATTTATTTTCAGCTTTTATGATTTTGTAAGGAGCTTCAGAAAATTCTCCCTATTGTCTGCGGGTACACCATCCTTGACCTTTATTTCAGTTTATAGGTTCTTCAGTTCTGGGAATGATGTTGTCACTGAACAGATGCAGTGGAAGATAAACTCCTCCGTTTATTGAAATACGATTAAAAAATCATATTCCAGGAGCTCCTAAATACCTAGTACGTAACTCATTTAAACACCTGTATTTTCACTTCCTAAAGGCTGCCAACAGAAGCAGCTTTCTCCAAAATAGAATTAATCCTTAGTTTCAGTTTATAAAGAGGAAACTAATTTAGTCAAAACAAACAGGTATTCAGATTTTCCTGCAGTCGTGCAACACCACGCGCTGGAAGGAAAATCTCGAGTAACTGGGATTATACTTTTTTACGGAGAAAAACCAGTAGGGGGAGGAAAGTGGTCAGCTGACATCTTCTCTTTCACGTGATTTTCCTTACAATATGGCTGCGCCCAGGCACAATTTACTTTGGGTGGTTTACGCTTGCTGGCTCCTGTGGCTACGGTCTGCAGAGTGCTTAGACGGCAACGAAGAAAAAGGAAAGCCCGGAGAAGAGGAGGATCAAGGGGCATGTGGTTGCAGCAACGGTCGGGCAAGCGGCGCGGAAGGAGCTGCACGGAAATACTCTGTGGAGGCGAATGTTTCCCAGCAGCCAAATAATCGCCGTGGAGACGACCGCTCGAAAAACGAGGGTATGAAGGTAAGTAAATGGGGCGTTAGGTTGGTGGTTTTAATGAGGAATGAAGGTTTAATGATGGGATGGCGGACAGCGGGTGTAACAGCGTTGCTAGAGCGTGTGACATAACTTGAAACATGATTGCTAGATGTCTCTTTCAGTTCAGTGTTTCTTATCGTATATGCGATAAGAAAAAAATAAAGAACAACCATCTCAGTCACGTGTAGCACCTGCAAGCCAGTTTATAGCTCAAGCCTCATGCCCAAAGGTTCCTGTCTTCCAGCCTTCTGTAACCTGGCATTATCCAACTCTGTTGGATTTCACCCAAGTCTAGGGCTACGCTGAGGTCCTAAGCTATGTGAAGTTTTATGCTAACTTGTATTAAAAAGGCATTATAACAAAAGGATAATTAAAAATAAAGGCATGCCTGAGTATCAACTTGGCAAGCATCCAGCTCAGACCAATACTCTTAGCCAAATCAGTTACCTTGAAAAATCCCATTTGCATTAGGAATACTTGCAGCTGAAAATATGCTGTGTCTTTTTTCAGCTTTTAGAGATGATAATGTAGAAAAACATGAGCTGTTACGCAGTTAAGCCCTAATACATATTTAAAAAGCACTTAAATTGGCATTATTTCTACTTCGTATCGTAGCCAAGGTGACACTGAGTGGGGTGAGATTATATACATTCAGGTGGAATAATTTTGAGGAAAGAAAGGGAAAATGTTTTTTTCTATTGAGTCATATGGATTAGAGAATTGAAAATGTTTAAGTGAGAAAGGTACTACAATATAATGGTGACAGAGGAGGACAAGAGAGAGTTGGAAAACTGGGTTACCTGAGCAAAAGAAGTATGAGGGATCCTGAAACTACCCATTACAAGAGAAGCCAATAATCTGGCCATTGCATATGTGGTTTGGAAGATATGTAAGTTGCTGTTTGTGAGGTTTGGGTGGAAGCAACTGTGCAGAAAGCCATTGATCTGTTAAGACCCTGGATAGGTATTGTGCCACTGAGGAACATCATTTGCAGTATGGCAGCACTGGGATCCATGAAAAGGAAAACTTTCATATCCACAATGTTTGAAGAATGGTGGACAATGTGATAGTTGCTGTTACAGTTTATCATGCAGATGAACAGTCGAAGTGCCAAAAGCAAGAGCTGAGGAGTAGTTGAAAGTATGTTATAGAAAGTTGGTGAAAGTGGAAGAGACATAAAAGTGAATACCATAAGCTGGTTCTGAAAGATATTACGATAGATTGGATTGGAGGAAGAACAAATGCGAAAATTTATGATGAGAACAATTTGTGACAGAGTGGTAACGAAGTACTCTTCTTGGATTGAGAGTTAAAGGGAAGTCTGCAACTGTTGGACTTAAGTGAGAACAAGTTGGTAGAAGTTGGAATAGGATGGCTGCAGTGGGACCCAGCCAAGAGCAGCCATGTGGGATGTTTTTTTTTTTTTTTAACATGTTGCAGCATGTAACATTCTATGTATGGGGTAAAGTAATATCAGTGTTACCATGAACAGCCCCTTCCTTTTTCTATATGAGTTGTGATGTTTCATCACCATCAATTACTACTCCCCAAAAGAAACCAATGGGAGTTGAATTCCAAAACATCTGTAAGGTATTATGTTGGAGAATGCTGACTTAGACTGGTCTGGTCACTGAATATTCTAGCATCTAATTCCAAAACATTAATCAGAAAATACTGTAAATTTTTTTTAACTTTCATGTATGTGTGCTTTTATCACATGAAACATCTGGAGATTTTTAAATATAATTTTATAAATCAAGATATGCACTATTTATAAATTGATGCTTCTCCTCAGCCAATGTGGAAATGGAAGCATTGCAAAGTATATACTTTCTTTTAAATTTTGGAGTTACTGTGTGTGTGTATCCAGCAAATTGTAGATTAATCAACTAATCATAGTTAAGGAAGACATGGCATAGTGTATAAACCCAGCATAAGAACTAATAGATCAGGAAAGGGCTATGGTGGAGGCCTGATCAGAGGATCATGGATCACTTGAGGGCTTCCATTCACTTCCTGGCAATTTGTGCTGTGCTGTGAAGGGAGGTCAGAGTATTTTGGCCCTCCCTGTTGCAGCAGGCAGAGATCAAAGTCTTCACCCCCACTGCTATAGCTCAGAATTTCTTGGAAGACATAGTGCTCTGGTTGATCCTTCAAGGAAGAACTTTAATCCCTTCAGCACCAAGTGGAGAATACTATTTTCTCTGCCTGGTTGAGGATTAGTAGGCTCAGAGATATGAAATTATCCTTGCTTGTTACATAAGTTAGGGAAGAGTGTTTTCCCCTTAACCCTATGGATTATTTTTGATCAGGAGATGGATTATATATTTAGTTCACATCTGGAACATGTTTATTCATTCTGTTTTCAACTATGTAACTGTGATATTTAACAGTTTTCCAAGAGAGAATGAAGTGTAATTCTTCCCCTTTGCACTATTTAGTCAAGATGTGAATGTAATCTATTTGGACATATATCATAAACATATCATCAAATCAAGCTCAGCTTTTATTGACTGCATCCTTGCAATTTTTCTGGAACCATGATGGAGGTTATTTGCCATTCTTTTTTCCCTGGATTTTGTTTTAATGATCTAGGCTTGGCCTAGGTCAACTACTCTTGGGTTTCTCAAATAATCGCCATCCAAGTACTAAAGTTGGCTTTCTGGCAGTTGAAGTCCACAACTCATAAAAGGGCCAAGTTTGAAGACCCCTGAACTAGAGTATTCCACTAACTTTAGCCGCTCTACAGAAAGGACAGTGTTGTGGTTCCGGTTAATGAAACATTCCAAAGAACTTCCAGGCATTTATTTTCCTAAAAGTCTTTTATTGTTACAAAATATCAGCACAGGCACAAGTGAGGGATGCTAGGATCTAAGTTCTCTTCCTCTGAGCAGTTAAATTATCAGCATGTTCCCTCCCTAAATTAGCCTCATATCTCACACTATCCAATTAGTGTGAAGGTCAAATGTTTTCTTCCTCTTTCTTTCCCGGGCTTTACCCCCAACGCTCCTTCTGCTCTTTATTAACCCCATATTTACCAGACAATTCTGCATATTGTCAAAAGCAAGAATATACAATATTTGCAGCATTGACAGACAGGAGGAGAAATATGGAATTGCAACATTGAGGCACAGGCTATAGAAGTAAATCCATTTGTTTTTGTAGTATCAGTTGTAAATCATGTTTTCTCTGTGTAGAGACTTTCGTGTTTATCTCCAACTCTGCAAAGTTATGCAGATTTGGCCTAGTTCCATGGAGCTGTGTGTCTTGTACCGCTCTTAATGTGTAAGCTATGTTTCTTATACTAATAAACTGGGAAAACACCCAAAAGAATATTAAAACCAGGGGTTCACAAACATGGGTTCTGGGACTGATTGAAACAGATAAGATCAGAAAACTTCTATTTTTTAAAAAAGAAAAAATTGAAAACATCAATCCAAATATAAGCCAAGTTTAATCAAACTAGGTAAATACATTGCCAGTTCCAAGCTTCAGCCTTTGCTGACATTCATGTGTTGAATCTCCCCTGCTTCTCCAGCATGTAGAGGAATGTAGACTCCACGCATGGGTTGATTTAGTCTTCTAGCCCAATCAGACCAAACAATCAAAGTTGCCACGCCTCTGCAGGGTCTGACCATGCCCCAGTTTTCGTTTGGTCTCAGCCCTGAAGACACATGAGAATTTGGCTCCTAATTTAGATTCAGAAAGGTAGTTATTTCCATTCCTGGTTTCTCTATCCTTTTTTTCCTTCTTGGGGGGGGGGGATTGGTTCAGCTCTGAGCTCAGTGCTGCACCATTTCTTCTCTCTTAATCAATTCCCTTCTCCGTGAGTTTTCAGAGGCAGACAGCTGATCGTAGATTGCTGCCTCCTCATTACAATCCACCTCCCCCACCCCCTCCCAAGATCTTCGCTGTGAATGCGAAGCTAAACTACTAATTTTCAGCTGAAAACTGAAATCACCTTCTTAGGTTTGTTACCAATTCAAAACAACCTGCGGGCGCCATTTTGAGCCTCTAGAAGGCTCGATCCTCACACTACTCAACTACTTCCTTGTTACTGTTGATTGTCAGCTGTAAATTACCAAAAAAAAAAAAAAAACAGCAGGTGAACTGTTTGACTAAAAGAGCTGATTACCAGATTACTTGCAGGAGAGGATTTTTTCTCTCAGCTTGTTTCATCTCTCATCAGATTGTCCCGGCCGCCATTTTGGGCTCCGCCCAATCACACACATTAAATTGACTGCTTTGTCCTAATTACAGCCTTTTCAGTTACGAAGTAACTTACTTATTTGGTGATTCTCCCTAAGTGGGGGGGGGGGAAATAGGAGTTCTAATTACATTCCTTTAGATCTTCATTTAGCTGCTTAATAGGCACCATCTCATGTTGCCTAGTGGACATAGGGAAAATACCTTGAGTCTCTCACTCCATTTTATCTGGTAATATTCCAGACTGTGACTTACCAGTACCTTTTAAATATCCAGGGCCAACAGATTGGATGGCTGCTTGCCTTGCCTGTTTTCCGCTGTCTGCATAGTGGTCGGCACTTACTGTCCTAGCCGTCACTAAGTGAGACACGAGGGTCAAAAAAAAATCATTTAAAATAAAACAGAATTAAATTAAACAAGATATATACCTATATTCATATATAGACTTATCTTTAATTGATACCTTTTCGGCCAAATTGTCTCTATTACAGTGGGCATAAAAAATTGAATGGGGAGGACAGCCCCTGAGCGTAGCGCGGCTTATATCGCATAGTGACTCCGTGCTTAATGGTGGGCCGGACCTCACAGACCCTCGTGCAGGCCTGTACCACCCAGGTGGGCCGTGGCCTTCCTTTCTCCTGCAGACCAAGGGCCGATCCAGGGATCTCCTGGTGAAAACCTGCCCTTTCTTCTCCTGCAGAACAGGACTGATCCAGGGATCTCCTGGTGACAACCTGTCTTTTCTTCTATTGCAGTACAGGCCAGATCCAGGGATCTCC